CAATAACAAAAAGACAAACAATCCAATTAAAAAATGGGCAGAAGACATGAATAGACACTTCACCAAAGAGGATATTCAAGCGGCCAACAAACATATGAAGAAATGCTCACGATCATTAGCTATTAGAGAGATGCAAATCAGAACAACAATGAGATAACCATCTTGCTCCAGCACTAGTAGCAAAGTTCAACAAGACAGAAAATAACAAATGCTGGCGAGGTTGTGGAGAGATTGGGACTCTCATACACTGCTGGTGGGACTGTAAAATGGTACAACCATTGTGGAAAGCAGTATGGCGATTCCTTCAAAAGTTGGAATTAGAAATACCATTTGACTCAGCCATTCCATTACTAGGTATATACCCTAAAGAAGTGAGAGCCATGACAAGAACAGATACATGCACACCCATGTTCATTGCAGCACTATTTACAATAGCCAAAAGTTGGAAACAACCTAGGTGTCCATCAACTGAGAAATGGATAACCAAACTATGGTACATACACACAATGGAATACTATGCAATGTTAAAGAATAATGTAGAATCTGCAAAACACTGCATAAAATGGATGAACTTGGAGGACATTATGCTGAGTGAAATAAATCAATCATAAAAGGACAAATATTGTATTAGTCCATTATTGTAAAAGTTAAGGAAAGGTTTATCTATAGAAGGAAATGTTCTTTATTGGTTACCAGGGGTGGGAGGAGAGGGGAGTGAAGGCTGTTAGATAGATAGAGATAAGTCCTGATTTGGGTAAAGAGAAGGGCAATGTAGCAAATGTGAGTGACCAATATGGCAGCATTGAGAATGAGAAAGACATAGAGGTAAACTGTGGTCAACGACATGAGACAAAGTATATGTGAACTGCTGTATGGAAAGTGAATTTGCTCTGTAAATCTTCACCCAAATCACAATAAATTAAAAAAAAAATTGTTTGGTCTGATAAAAACTATGTACAAAAAACCAACAACTTAGTCACAGAAAAACAAAGACTAAAGGTTGAAACAAAACACCAATAAATGTTTAGACATTTTCTTCTGATAACAGGTATCTGGGTGGTTCCTTTTTCTCTTTTCAACTTTCTCTATTTTTCCAAAAATGTCTTTACTGTGAAAATACAGCTTTAATGCCTTTTTAAACATAACATACACAGATTTTGCTTGAGTCAGGGGTTGTAATCTATAAATAATGAAAGAATAATTAACAGGTACCCTGCAGAACCAGTTATTTTCCCTTCTCCTCAAATCAGCATCAGGGTCTCCCAGCAGCCCCAGGGTCTCCCTGCAGCCCCAGCATCTCCCTGCAGCCCCAGGTCAATCACCTGAAGCCCTGCTCACATCTGATACCATTTCTCCTTGGCCATGACATACAGAAGAGATCAGAGCCGACATGCAACAGTTCTGTGTCAGATTAAGAGGCTTGTGCTCGGAATTGGTTTAGGATCTGTAGCTCAGCAAGCTCTCCACACAATCACACTCCTGTGCCTCCAATCCTTATTCCCAGTTCACTTAGCTTCTAACCAGCCACTAAGCATTTACCTTTTCTGACTTCAGGCAGAGGATACAACAGAGTACTGAGAGCCCAAGCTTCAAACAGCTCAGCATCCAGTCAGCCATGCAGCTGACCCCAATTTGATTTGTGCCCTAACACTGATAACTGGGTTCCTGTCCTAAGCCTCTGGGCTGAATTCCAAGAGCGGGTGTTCTAGCTGCCTCTTGTGGCCCAGAGCAAACATGCTGCCTGGGAGGCTGTTCAAAATGCAGAATCTCAGGCCTTGTTCCAGGCCTACTGAATCAGAATATTCATACTAGCAAGATTCCCAGATGATTTGTACGCACTTTAAAGTTTGCTAAGCATGATGAGGGACAAGCTGTAATTCTAATCACATGTGTCAGAATGTTGGCCGCCTGAGGTTGACTGCCAGAGTGATGGGAGACTCCTAATCAAACTGCTATCTTGCCTGCTCTATTCTATCTTCCCGTTATTACCAGGGACGAGCTTTCTGTAGTCCAATACAATGATGTTCAAAATTCTAAGAATGGTAGGAACAGCTCCCACCAACCTCATCTCCAGCCAGCCATCACCTTTCACTTTATGCTCCAGCCATGGGAAACTACCTATGTTTCCCACAAAACAGCAGTTATCAAGGATTACAACTTTATTAACTCAACTTTCCCCAGTATACCCACTCCCCACTTACTGTCATAGTTATATTCCAAAGGTTATTATGTGAAAATCAGTGTTATGTGAAAATGGAGGATGACTACATCAGATCACAAAATAGAGGATGACGACATCATTACATTATTGCCAAACCACTGAGAATCATGGCCTAGCCAAGTTCACATATAACCATAACCATCACAGATAGTGTTATTCTCTCCTCATGCCTTGGCATTTGTTACTGCCAGGTGGACATTGCTGAAGCACAAAACAGTTGAATAGTAGATTTTTTACTATTGCTGTACATGTGAAATGTCAGATATACAAGATAGTTGATAAGTGAGGAGTTTTGAAGAATTTGTAGGAGTTTGTTCCTTTAGCTCCCTGCGACTGAGTCCATTCAGACTCATAGTGACCAATAAGACACAGTAGAACAGCCACAGAGGGTTTCCAAGGCTGTAAATCTTTACAGAAGCAGACTGCCTCATTATTCTCCTACAGAGTGGCTGGTGGGTTCAAACCACCGACCTTTTTGGTTACCAGCCAATGCTTTAACCACAGTGCCACCAGAGCTCCTTAAGGGAGGAGGTGATGTATATGAATCTCTTTTAAGTATTATTAAATAAATTAGAATTATAATAGATAACTGACCCTTTGGGAGGGGCCAAGGGAATTAGAGTTCTGGGGTATGAGGACAACTTTTCTTCTTCTTATCTTTTCCCTTTTCTCCATCTGCACGTATTTCTTTTTGATTTGCATGTATTAATACTGTAATTTACATAAAATCACACCCCAGAAGAAAATTTAGCAGGCTCAGTCACTAGAAATCCATCTAGCTATTTATTTTATTGTTACTATAATAAACAGGCTATAAATGACCTCATGTGCCTTTCAAAGTATTTGATAGATATTATGGGAAACTTGCTGAATTATTCATGTAATTTTAACAGTAAAATCATTGAAAAGAAAAAATAAGCACTTCTTTTATGATTCCTTAAATATATCTTTAATTTTTTTTTTATTTTAACATTTTGGATTTTCAACATTAGTCTTAAATTATGATTCAAAGTTTAAACACAAAAATCTATAGTACTAAATAAAGTCCTTAACTAGCTTGTCCTATTCATATGATGATTCATAGCTACTAGAGCTTATTCATTAATTCAACTGAAATTTACAGAGAACCTGGCAGGTTGAAGGCACTGTGTGTGTGCTGTAAGAGAGGTTATTTATTCACTGAACAAGGGATTTAAGAACTACCACTACATTCTACACACACACACACACACACACACATATATAAAGCCATAAAAATCTGCATGCTACAACTGTACTTTCCAAAACAATAATTTTCACTTTAACTTGTAAAATTATATAACCACAAACCAAATGAAAAAAGTAAAATCTTATTCTTAACATCAATCATTTCAACTGAAGCCTATACCAAAACTTTACTGCTTACAAGAAATTTGTTTTCTTTGCAAACATTTATAAATTTCTCATCTGTTCCCAATTTTAAACTCTAAAGTCTAAAAACAGATTACAAACATCCCTGCAGACACATTCCAGAGCAGGAATGGCCTTAGCCTAATAGGGCCTCAGTATATTCCAAGTAGAAAAACAAAGTTAAAGAAGAGAGAAGTCCTTGGAATATTTATATTTAGATACTTACTTTAAAAATCATTTTATATCCATTCTTTTCCATTCTTTAGAGGACACTGAAATGACTCAGACAAAACTCCTATTCTTTAGAGTTGCTTCTGAGTTTTCAAAAGAATGCAATTAAAAATAATCAATAAGCTGAATCTTAAAAAGATAAGGGCACAGTACAGTAATGGAGAAAAAACAAAAGTTTGGCCACCAGAGCTCCCAAAAGAGTCATGGTCAAAGTTAATCAGAGCTTTGCTTTACTAAGTATAGATACTGATTTTCAGTACCTAAGCTTAATGTAATGACCCTGTTTATTTCTCTCCTAGATTCTCTCCAAAATCTAAGAGTCAGACAGAAGAATGAATTTTAAAATAAATAAATAACTGCCATCGAGTCGATTCCGACTCACAGTGACCCTCTTTGGGTTTCCAAGGTGGTAAATCTTTACAGAAGTAAATTGTTCAAGCTTCCTTCAGTGGAGTGGCTGGTGGGTTTGAACAGCAAACCTTCTTGTTAGCATTCAAGTGCCTTAGGCACTACGCCACCAGAACCCCTTAGAAGAGTGAATAGCTAGGTTTTAAGGTGTAGAAATTTCTTAGGTACACTTGGAAAATTTTTATTTCTTTAAAGTTAAAATGAACAATAGATTTGTGAGTTTTCATATTTTGGGTATTTGAAAAAATAATAATAAACTACTAACATTCCCACTTAGCAGGAAAAGAGATTATTACTTTTACAAGCAGATTTAACAATAAGGCAAATGAACATGTTAGAAATACAGAAAGCTTGGGACAACTTCTGTATATAAAATAAATAGCATTTCATGTATAATCTTTATCTTGTTGGCGGGAAGCAGACAGACTAATAAAACTATTAGTAAAACTAACTGCTGTATGGAAAGTGAATTTGCTCTGTAAATCTTCACCAAATCACAATAAAAAGAAAAAAAAAACAACTATTAGTAAACTAATACTCTTGAGGGAGCTCTGGTAGCATAGTGGCTAAGACACTTGCCTGCTAACCAGACGGCTGGCGGTTCAAACCCACCAGCCACTTCTCGGAAGGAAGGTTGGGCAATCCTACTTTCGTAGTGATACTGCCTCGGAAACCCAAGGAGGGGTTGCTATGAGTCGGGGCTGACTCGACAGCAAATAACAACAACAACAACAATACTCTTGAGGATCACCGGCATACTTCGTTTCAAAACCAGGAGAGAGTGTAAGCAACCAGAATCATCTGACAAAATACCTGAATAAATGAAGCGCAGGATGTCTGATAAACAAGAGCAGAAGAGGACGTCCTTAACAATGACTCGTAATGGTGGGTTGCCTGGAGACTCCTGGCTAGCACCTGGAAATGCAGGATCTCTGTTTATGGCAAAGAGATCCTGGGCTGTCCGGATGATACTGGAATCCTGAATGTCAGTGGGACTCTTCACATTGAAAAGCAGCATGAAAACGTGGCTTACAGCACAGAGGACAATCTTGTGGGCTTCTACAATGTCCCTTAAATCTGGGTTGTAAAATACCACATCCACACACTGGCAGCAGAACAGCAAGTTATTTAAATCAGAGTTATAATGTGATGCTTCAGCCTTTAAGACAGGCATTTTTTCTGTTTCAAAAAAGAAAATAAAAATCATAAACTACTCTTTAGGTCCATAGAGCCAATAATTCCAGTTCTTTTTAAGCAAAGAAAAATAAACATTATTTTTTAATATTATTAGGTTGAACCATATAAAACTGCCAGTTTTGACCTACAAAAACAGCAACTTTGTAGAATTTAACCTAAAAACAAACATATATAATCTAATCATTTAAGTATTGTAGAATTTCACCACACAGGCCCACACTTGAATACTATGTTTACATTTTATAGTGCAAATGGAAAACCTAAAATGACATAAAGAACAATGAAATAACAACTGTCATGATTTATGGATCCCTAAAATAAAATAAGGGAGCTCTGGTAGCATAGTGCCTAAGATACTTGACTGCTAACCAGAAGGCTGGTGGTTCAAACCCACCAACCACTCCTAGGAAGGAAGGTTGGGCAATCTACTTCCACAGTGATACCACTGCCTTGGAAACCCAAGGAGGGGTCACTATGAGTTGGGTCCAACTCAACGGCAAACAACAACAACACAAAATAAAATAAAACAGCTAGATTGTATAATGGTTAAGTGCTTGGCTGCTAACTGAAAGGTCAGTGGTTCAAACTCACCAGCTGCTCCCTGGGAGAAAGATGTGGCAATCTGCTTCCATAAAGACTTACACCCTTAGAAACCCTAGGGCAGTTCTATTCTGTCTTACAGGGTCGCTATGAGCCAGAACAGACTCGGCAGCAATGGGCTTGTTTTTAACATAAAATATTCCTCCAAATGTTGAATTTTAGCAGTCACCATTCTTTACTTTTACCTGGTTAGAAAATCAAAACCAATTATTGAATGAGTTCCAAAGAATATAATCTCAATCTACAGTCAGTCGTCCTCCTCCTGGGTCTGGAAGAAGAGATGGAGGGCTAAGCTGTTAAAATTCTTCAACTTCTCAAAGACAGGACTCAGAGATTTGGACTCTATTGTTTGAAACCATGGTTACTATTTTATTTTGATCCAAGTCTTGTATCTTTTTTTTTTCCCTAGTAAAACAATATGGCTCTCCAAAACCAGTTCTTTTCCCTAAGATTATGTATAGTGTTATTCCCAGTTCTTTTTATAGAATGGTACAGAAAACAGCCTTGAGAAAGGTGTGACTGCATTTGCTGAAGGGACACTTATGAAGGCCCTACCTACTATATCATTTTGTACCCCCGGATGAAGACCTATGTCAGAAATTTCTTGTAGAGATAAATGACATTTTACTGCTTTGCTTTCCTTTAGAAACTGGTATATTTTCTTTTTGATAAATGAAAACGAACTAACTAGCAATGTGCACTACTTATTTGGTCCTTCTCTACCCATCTTTTAATCCAGAAAGTATTTAAGGCTCCACTTTTTGTTTTTCTTTTTTAATTGTGCTTTGGGTGCAAATTTACAGAACAGAATTTGTTTTACATTTTACATTCAACATTTCATATACATTTGGTTTCACTCCCCGATTACCACCCCCAACCCTAACCCACTTTCCTCCTCTCCCTTCCCAGTGGCCCCTCCATCCCTGTCCCCTTCTTAGCTATGCACTCCTGTCTGTTCAGCTTTTCCTCCGTGTGAAGGTTGTCCCTCTGGTGCCCCATGGCCAATTACTCCCAGGAATGTATCTCCATAGAGTAGGTGGGTGCATCGCCCTGGGTTGGGTGTCCTGCATGTTAAGTCTTATTAATGTTGGGCCGAGAACTAGCCCTTGGGAATGAGTTTTATCCCAGGCCCAAGTGTATCCCAGGGCCATAGTCTTGGGGGTTCCACTGGACTCCATCCGACCAGTAATTCTGGTCATTATTGTGTTTTTGAATTTTATGCTACATTTTTCCTCCCAATCTATCCAGGATCTCCAGTTTTGATCCTTTCTCAAGTGGTTGGCATTGGTAGCTGGGCACCATCTGGTTCTCCTGGTCTTGAGGCCCATCATAACCTAGAGCTGATTGTTTCCAAATGTCCTTGGTTTCTTCACTCTTCCTCACTTCCAACAAAATTTAAGGCCCCACTGTTCACTAAAAACCAAGGGTATATCATTTAGGGTCTACTTATCTGCATTTGTTTTTAAACCTGGAGTTGACCTCATATCCTAATTTATATTTTCATGATTTTTTAGATTTGTATTTATTAATTCAATGAAAACTTATCAAATACCTCTTCTATAAAATTATACCAATAGCAAATTGATAAAGATTATTATTTCTGTCACAAAATTGTGCAAAAAGGTCTGTGATATTTATGGTAACAACTGATGTTATTTATTTAGACTGTATTTTCCCTTAACCTATTACGAAAATTTCTGAACATTTGAAAGAGTTGAAAGAATGACAAAATGAACACACACACAGTCTCCCCTTAGATTCTGCAATTATTAACATTTTATCACTTTGGTCTTATCACTAGATAGACAAACACACACACTGCTAAACCATTTAAAAGTAAGTTGTAATCATTAGGATATTTTGGCTCTCATTACTTCACATTCATCTCCTAAGAATAAGGACATTTCCCTATTCAACCACAATACCATTATCAGACACAAAAAATTAACAATAATTTCATAATATCACCTAATTATTTCCTACTCACATATTTATCCATTGTACCAAGAATGTCTTTTATAGATGTTTTTATTGAAGAAGAATCCAATCAAGGTGTATGCATTACATCTGGTAGTTATTATGTGTTAAACTTCAATCCGTAAGAGCCATCCCACTCCAACATTATTTTTACAATCTATAGTCAACTCAATGGCACATAACAACAACAACAAACAATAGTTGACTCGATGGCAGTGGGTATAGGCTCAAGTTTTAAAGTATTTCCCAAAGTGTAGTCCGAGACCTGTTTTATGAACCACCTGATTCAGAATCAGCTGGAAAGCTTATTTAAAAAGCAGATTTGTGGTGTTATCCCAAACTTAGAAATCAGAATGTCAGGTGGTTCCTGAGAACACTTAAATTTGAGAAGAACTGCTGTAAATGATTTATAATAAACAGCAACAGAAAAAAAATTAATGATAAATAAATTAATAAACAAATAAATAGCAAGTCAATGTCTAGACACTGGTTTATAAATGCACCTGGTTGTTCAAGCTGAGGTGGTCTAATTCCATGAAATGAGTTGCTCATTTTCCTTTTCTTCATTTTTTCACTTGTCTTCTGATTTAAGGCTTGAATCATAAAATACTCCAACTAAAACATGAAACAAATTTTAATTTAAGTATCTACAAAATTGTATCTGACATGATTATTTGTACAGATTCACACCCTTCAAATATTTTTAATATCAGTGTTGTCTACATGTATTCATAACACTTAAAATTTTACATAAACATGTTAATGTTTTATTAAATGTTTTAGCAAGTGTTTTATTGAACATGTTAATGTTTAAGTGGAACATGCAAATCCGTTAAAAAAAAAAACTTATTAAGTAGAACACATTGTGTCTTGTTTGAACATAAACTATCAATTCAAAAAGGAATTGTTGATTTTCTTAAATAATCAAGAAAGCCAAGTACTAAAACTGCGTGGCTGTCAACAATCTTCTCAGTGGGCAACCACATTGTTATACTAGGAGAAGATTCAAGGCAGGAACAGCTCTGGCTCTATGTCTACAGATGCTCATATCAACCAAGGCAGTCCACATGTGCTCTAGCTTCTTTTTCTTTAACAAAATAATTTGAAGGCTGTCCTCAATTTTACAATTAAAGCTTTTATTCCATGTAATTACACAGCTCCAGGCCTACATTGTGAAGCCTGGGGCAAAAGTACAATGGAGGACCACATACCTACCATATATATCTTAGGCTGGGTTCTCTAAAGAGCAAAACCAGTGAAGTGTATATATATACATAAATATATAAAATAACCAAAAAACAAACTCACTGCCATTGAGTCAATTCTGACTCAAAGCAATGCCCACTGGGTTTCCGAGGCTATAAATCTTTATAGAAGCAGACTGCCTTATCTTTCTTCCATATAAATATATAGAGACATTTATTTCAAGGAAATGGTTCACACAACTGTGGAGGCTGACAAGTCCCTAACCTGTAGGTCAGGAGTTAGGCTACAGGCTTCTCCTGACTCATGTGGTTGCAAGAAGTGATAAACCCAAAATCAACAGGTCAGAAAGCAGGCTGCTGACTCATGTCCCAAGAACCAGAGGTCAGAAGATGACAAGTTGGATGCAGGATCAAACAGAAGGTGAGGTTTGCTAGAACATCGATATATTTAGAATGCAGGCCACACACCCAAGGAAATTCTACTTTCAGCTGATTGGCTGCTCACAGCAGATCACAAAATAGAGGATGATTACATAGTATCTGCCAAATCACTAAGAATCATAGCCTACCAAGTTAATATATACCCTTGGCCATCACAGTCTACCCCCTTGTGAACCTGGTACCTGTACATATCTCCTTAAGCCATTTATAATCCCCAAATAATGACAATTTTAAAATCATGCTTGCACTTAGCATGCTATGACTAACATGTACAACTAAAAATGCACCAGCCCTGTTTACATCTTATATTTTATAATTAATAGAATAAGGAAGAGTAGAGAGCAAGGATTTTATATATATATATATATATATATATACACACACACACACACACATATACACACATATACATATACATATAATAAAACAAGGAAGAAATACTGAAAACAATTATAGTCCTCATTTTTGCAACTGGTCATGTGCTAGTAGCTGGTATTACAACTACCTTGTTCTACCACCCATTCCATATTCTCCTTTCACTCAGCAAACACCTCAGTTGGCTGTGGTTCCTTGCTTGATGGTGTATCCCAAACCTTCATTCCTAAAGGATCCGGGCCATTAGTACTCATATTGGAATTTGTTTGCTATAGTTTTCCACTGACTTTAATCACAGGGCATGGTAGTACTAAAAGACATCCTAAGGGATTTTGTGTATTCCAGATATACTCTTCTTTATTTCTATCATGTAATACCAATCCAGTGTCCCCTTGATAATCAGGACCAATCACACCAGCCAAAACAGTAACTCCCTTCTTTGTCTGTTGATCCAGAGGCATTAGGAGTCCAAAGTGGCTGGGTGACATACTTAACTTCCAGTTCAAGGGAATCCATGTTATGTCTCCTGATGGGAGCATTCTTTCCTTTGGAAATAAGACCTCTAGGGATGTAGAACATAGGGTTGCAGGGACAGGAAGCAAAAAATTTGCAAGTGGGTCACTATGGGTAATAGTGAGTGATGCCATTCCCATTTCCACCCCTTGATTCCTGGATCCATAAATATATGGAACAGCACCATATAGTGGGTGCTGATAAATCTTATTCAGCCTCCTGGAGAACACTGCCCCAACCTTGCAAAGGTATTTCCACCTACTGGCAACATAATTGCGTCTTTAGAAGACTATCCCATCATTTTATCAAGCTAGTTGCTTCAAGATGATAGGAAATATGTGATGAGAAACCAGTGATTTCCTTGAGCATGGGCCCACATCATTTGTTGTGAAGTAAGTTCCTTGATCTGAGGCAATGTTGCGTGGGATATCATGGCAGTAGATTAGGTATTCTATAAGTCCATGGCTGGTAGTTTTGGCAGAAGTGTTACATGCAGGGAAGGCATATCCGTATCCAGCATAAGTATCTATCTCAGTAAGAACAAAATGCTGTTCTTTCCATGATGTGAGTAGCCATGTAATCAACCTGCCACCAGGTTGCTGGCAATCAGCCCCTAGGAATGGTTCCATATTGGAGTGTTGATCTCCGCTGCTGGCAGATTGGACACTCGGCAGTAGCTATAGCCAAGTCAGCCTCAATGAGTGAAAGTCCATGTTGCTGAGCCTATGCACAACATCCATCCTGCCACTATGGCCACTATGTACATGAGGCCATTGGACAATGACAGGAGTGGCTGGGGAAGGGGCTGACTGGTATCCACAGAATGTGTCACCCTATCCACTTGGTTGTTAAAATCCACTTATGCCGAGGTCACCCGCACATGAGACAGAAACAATTTCACTTCCTTGGTCCATTCAGAGAGGACCATCCATATGCCTCTTCCTCATACCTCCTTGTTACCCATTTTTCAATCATGTTCCTTCCAAGTCCCTGACCATTCACCCAAACCACTAGTCACAGCCCATGAATTAATATACAATCACACATCTGGTCATCTCTCCTTCTAAACAAAATGAACAACCTGGTGCTCTGCTCAAAGTTTTGCCCACTGGGACTATTTACCTTTATCACTGTACTTCAGGGAAGTCCTACAAAGGGGCTGCAGTGCTGTTCCTGTCCACTTCCAAGTGGTGCCTAAATATTGCACAGAACTATCTATAAACCAGTCATGAGTTTTCTCTTCCTCAGTCAACTAATCATAAGGAACTCCCTATGAGGTCACAGGCTCAGACTGGGAAAAGGAAGGTAATGTGACAAAAGCGGGGACCATGAATGAGCATTTGGGCCACTCCTCGTGTAACTTATTTGTGCCTTCAGGTCCTGCTTGAGCTATCTCATATATACTACTTCCATTTAATGATGGAGTGCTGCTATGCACACCCAACTTTATGACTCTGTGGGTCAGACAGCACCCAGGCTGCATAGTGACTCGGTGGCCCATAGTTAAGCATTCAGTCTCTATCTACTTAGGCCCAATAACAAGCCAAAAGCTATTTCTCAAAAGGAGAGTAGCTATCTTCAAAGGATGGCAGAGCTTTGCCCCCAGATCCTTAGGGTCTATTTTGTGATTTACCAATAGGGGCCTATCAGTGATTCCAAACAGCATCTCTGTCTGCCACTGCCACTTCAAACACCATTGGTTCAGCCAGATTATAGGGCCCAAGTGGCAGAGTGATTTGCATAGCAGCCTGAACCTATTGCAGAGCCTTCTGCTACTCTGGGCCTCCCTCAAAACGAGCAGCTTTTTGAGTCACTTGATAAACAGGCCAGAGTAATGCACACAAATGAGGGATATGTTCCCTCCAAAAACCAAAGAGGCCTACTAGGTGTTGTGTTTCCTTTTTACTTGTAAGAGGGGTCAGAAACAACAACTTATCCTTTACTTTCAAAGGACTATCTCTACAAGATCCATATTACTAGACCCCTAAAAATTTCAACAAGGTGGAAGCCATCTGAATTTTTGTTGTATTTCTCACCCCCTTACATGTAAAAAAAAAAAAAACACCCAACACATGTCTGTCAATTTGTTGTACTGTGCTGACTTGCATGTTGTTGTGATGCTGGAAGTTATGTCTCTGGTATTTCAAACGTCAGCAGGTTCACCCATGGTGGACAGGTTTTAGCAGGGCTTCCAGAATAATAAAGACTAAGAAGAAGGACATGACAATCTACTTCTGAAAGAAATGACCACTGAAAACTTTGTGTATAGTAGTGAAAGAAACACTACTTGACATACTTCCAGAAGATGAGCCCCTCAGGTTGGAGGGCACTCAAAATACTACTGGGATAGAGCTGCCTCCTCAAAGAAGAGTTGACCTTAATGACATGAATGGAGTAAAACTTTTGTGATCCTCATTTGCTGATGTGGCATGACTCAAAATGAGAAGAAACAGCTGCTAACATCCATTAATAATCAGAATGTGAATACACAAAGTATGAATCTAGAAAAATTGGAAATCATCAAAAATGAAATGGAATGCATAAAGATCAATATCCTAGGCATTAGTAAACTCAAATGGACTGATATTGGCCACTGTCAATCAGACAATCATATGATCTACTATGCCAGGAATGAACAACTGAAGAGGAACAGCATCCCATTCATCGTCAAAAAGAACATTTCAAGATCCATCCTGAAATACAATGCTGTCAGTGATAGGGTAATATCCATACACCTACAAGGAAGACTAGTTAATACTGCTATTATACACCAACCACTAATGTCAAAGATAAAGAAATTGAAGATTTTCACCAACTTCTGCAGTCTCTGAAATTTACCAAACATGCAATCAAGATGCATTGGTAATTACTGGTGATTGGAATGAGAGAATTAGAAACAAAGAAGCATCAGTAGTTGAAAACTATGGCCCTAGTGGCAGAAATGACAATGGAGATTGCATGATAGAATTTTGCAAGACCAATAACTTACTCATTGCAAATACATTTTTTTCAACAGCATAAAAGGCTACTATACATGTGGAGCTCATCAGAAGGAATACACAGGAATCAAATCAACTACAT